CCCCTGCGTCTCTGTACCTGCCCCTCTCTGCCCCGGCCCCTCTGCGCCCCTGCGTCTCTGTACCTGCCCCTCTCCGCCCCGGCCCCTGTGTGCCCCGGACCCTCTGTGTACCCACCTGCCCCTTCGCGGCCCTACATCTCTGCGCCCCTGCCCGCCCGTGCCCCTGCCTGACTACCATGGAGGCGGGCATGGGGACGCCAGCACACAAAGACGACAAGGTGACAGGGATGAAAGTTCCTGGACACGTGGACCCGGCAGGAACCCCACTAGGGGGCGGGACCACAGCGTAAGCGCAAGGCTCTGTGTCTTCTTATATTTATCAAAAGAGGGGCCAGGAAGGCCGTGTGCAGACCCCTCGCCCGGCACAGACCCCACTCCACGGGCGACCCAGGTACCTTCCTGGGACCTTAACCCTGCTGCAGGCGGAGACCGCAGCTCCCACCCGGGACCCGAACCCTGTCCCAGGACCCAAACCTCACCCCACCCAGCCCTGACCCCGCCCCAGGCCACGGCCACGCCCAAAGTGCTGACCCCGCCCCAGGCCACGGCCACGCCCAAAGTGCTGACCCCGCCCCAGGCCACGGCCACGCCCAAATTGCTGACCCCGCCCCAGGCCATGGCCACGCCCAAAGTGCTGACCCCGCCCCAGGCCATGGCCACGCCCAAAGTGCTGACCACGCCCCAAACATGATCCCGCCCCAGGCCATGGCCACGCCCAAAGTGCTGACCCCGCCCCAGGCGATGACCACGCCCAAAATGCCGACCCCGCCCCAGGTCACGGCCACGCCCAAAGTGCTGGCCCCGCCCCAGGCCATGGCCACGCCCACAGTGCTGGCCCCGCCCCAGGCTGCACCTGAGGCCGAGCTGCTTCCCCGAGGCGCAGAGTCCCGGACGCACCTGGAGAGCATCCTGTAGGCGTCCTGCTTGTCCACCGGCTTCTCCAGGATCAGCCCCTCGATCGTCTGCAAGAGAACCGGACGGGGGCGCTCACTCTCCGAAGCCGGGCGTGGGGACGCCGCACCGTCCACACCCGATTTCAGTCCCCGAGGACGGACGCGCAGACCGAACGGGAGGCCAGAGAAGGGCCCCGAGGGGCACTCACCACGACGGTGTCCGCTCCGATGACGACGTCGGGGGCCCGGAGATCTTTCTGGAAGAAATGCAAAGCCAGCTTTAGAAAGGGCGTCCGTGTGTGTCTTAGGCAAATACTCGGATGGCCAGACCGGTGGGTACTTTGGAAAGTAAGATGCGGGTGTCCTCGGTGTCCCCAGCAAGGACACGGGGGTGACCCCAGGACACCGGCCCTGCGGGGTTGAGGATGTGGGGGGCTGTAGCCTGGAGGGGCTCTGCAGTCGCATGACGGGGACACCTGTCCGCTGGCTCCCTGACACAGGGGCAGCCCTGGAAATGGGGGGGTGGTTTAGGGCCCCGAGTCCGCCTAAGCTCTCGCGCCTGGGGGGCTCAGTCGGTTAAGCATCTGACTTCGGCTCAGGTCATGATCTCGCGGTTCGTGGGTTCGAGCCCCGCGTCGGGCTCTGTGCTGACAGCTCAGAGCCTGGAGCCGCTTCCGATTCTGTGTCTCCCTCTCTCTCTGACCCTCCCCCGCTTGTGCTCTGTCCCTCTCAAAAATAAATAAACATTAAAAAGTATCTTTAGAAAAGGACAAAGCTGTTTCTCTGACCTGCTCGATGTAATTTCAAGAAAGGTTCTCTGGACAATAAAAATAAATCCACGTGGGAAATTTCAGCTTGGGGCTGAATGCACTCATCTGAAGTCTGTATAGAACCTTGAGCTTAGGTTAAAATTACATACCAACTTTTCCATTGCTGAAAATCAATTGGTCAACAGTCGTTTATTTATACTAATACTATTTATTTATTTATGTTAATTATTTAATTTATACTAATACTTGTTAAGTACAATGCATTTATTATACTACATTTGTTGCAATAGTATATTATTTTAATACTTAGTAATGGAGGGGGCGCCTGGGGGGCTCAGTGGGTGAAGCGACCAACTTTGGCTCAGGTCATGATCTCGCGGTTTGTGGGTTCCAGCCCCACGTCGGGCTCTATGCTGACTGCCACCTCAGAGCCTGGAGCCTGTTGCAGATTGTGTGTCTCCCTCTCTCTCTGACCCTCCCCTACTCACGCTGTCTCTCTCTCTCTCAGAAATAAATAAAAACATAAAATAAATACTTAGTAATGGATATCTATATAATTCTGCATTAGAAATGATGCTGTTAAAAAAAGTTAATGATAGTATTACTTTAATTAAAATAGTATGCTACATATAACATATAATCTATGCTACATAGACAAGATATGCTAATAGTATATCACAAGTGACCCTGTTACATTCATTACAATAGCATATTACATAGTAATACACAGAAACAGACAAGGTATATTCATTCTTTGTGGTAAATGATATTACTAAATTAATTGTAATTCTGTATTACATACTAGCATATAGTAATAAGGAAGCTACATTCATTTTTTAAAAAAAATTTTTATGCATTTTTAAAATTTTTAAATGTTTTTTGAGAAAAAAACCCACAAATCGCGAGATCATGACCTGAGCCGAAGTTCGACGCTCAACTGACTGAGCCATCCAGATGCCCCAATTCTTTTTTTTAATTTTTTTTTGAAAGAGGCAGAGTGTGAGCGGGGAAGGGGCAAAGAGAGAGGGAGACACAGAATCGGAAGCAGCTTCAGGCTCTGAGTTGTCAGCACAGAGGCCCACTCAGGGCTCAAACCCATGAACTGTGAGATCATGACTGAGCCAAAGTCGGATCCTTAACCGACTGGGCCCCCCAAGTGCCCCTACTGATTCTTCATCATAAATGATGCTACTCTGTTAACCACAATAGTATGTCACACAGCAAGACACGGAGAACTAAGCTTCTATCACAGACAGTACAACAGTAACTATAGCTGTTTGCTACCCAGTAGCCCTGAGCAATGGGGAGGCCATGGTGATTGCATACAGCAGGCGGCACCGATCTGTAACAGGTGCATGTAAAGCAGAAACTCCCCTCCTGGCGAGGGAAGGAGCTAAGAAGGCAGAAGCAGGGCCTCCTTGCCTGGTACATCCTGCAGGCCACCTCCAAGGCCTTCTGCTTGGCTGTTTCAACGGCGTAGGCGTAGGGGGTGGGGAAGGAGGCTTTATCGAGCTTCTCTTTGAACCTGGAAGGCACCACCTCGAACCTGAAGCCCTGGAACAGGAGGAAAGGGGGTCAGGAGGGTTTGCAGGCAGAAGCCAGGGGCCCCGAGCAGAATGGGCCAGGTTTACAGTAAACACGCCCCAACCCCCACCCCCCACGAGCCCTGGGTCTTCCCGACATCTGTCACTGACCGCTGACAGGAAGCCAAGTCCCGGCTGGCCAGCGAGGACCGGGGGTGGCTGCGGCCGCGGCCAGAAGGCAGAGGTACACGCGGCGGCCACACAGAGCCCGGCACGGTAGCTGGGTGGGGTCTCCGGCTTGGAGGGGTCAAAGGTCACAGAGGCCAGCACTCCATGCCCACGGGTTCACAAACAGCTGAATACATACCGTCCACCCACAAGGCCACAACGGGTGGACCCGAGAGGGAAGACGGCCACGTTACCGTGGTCCCCAAATTCGTGAGAACATGCAAGGCGGGCCCATGCGGGGAGCCAGGTGTGGAGAGAGTGACCCCCGAGAGTTGAGTGGAGACAGGACTGTGGGGGTTGAACAAAGGGTAAAAGCCCCCAACCCCACAAGCACCCCTCTGCACAGCTCCCAAGTGGCTCTGACCATCCCTGACCCTAACTCCCTAAAGGGCTCCCCTCGCTCCTGACCCCCTCCACCCCATTTTCCTGGACTGCCCTGTGAGCCTTCCTGGGGTCTGAGGCCCACAACCCTCCCCAGGGGTACAGTCAGCACCCCTCACTCTGTACCGTCCCCGACCCAGGCCTCTGCCTGCCCCTGGGCTCTGCATGTGACTCTGTGTCCGTATCCCGTGGCCAGCAGGTCACTAGGCCACTAGGCATGGCCTGAAGAGTCTGGTCCCAATCATACAGACCCCCTCTACCGTGAGTCACTATGCCGAGGCCCAAAGAGCCCGGTGTGCAGACCCCAGCTCCCAGCCGAGAGTCATTGGTCACTGCACCCAGGTGACAGGGGCCCCGTCACTAGGCCCCTCAGCACCTAGCCCTTGGTCACCAGGCCCTGGTCACCAGACCACACGCTGAGGTCACCAGGTCCCTGATCACCAGACCACCTGGCCCCCGGGTCACCTATCTCCTGGGAAAACCTGGTCCCCCAGCACCGGCCCCTCCTTGTCATGAACAACCCCATTTCGGACCCTGAGGTTACCAGGTCTCTGGTCACCAGACCCCCGTTCCAGGCCCCCAGGTCACTAGGCCTCCAGGTTCGTAAGACTCCAGTCACCAGCCAGTACCAGGTCCCAGACGCCCAGGTCACTGTGTCCCTGGTCATCCAGGCTCCTGGCACCAGAACCAGAAGCCGTGGTCACCAAACCCCCATCCCCTGCCCCGGACCCCAGGTCACCAGAACCCCAGCCCCAGGCCCCCCAGCCTCCATTACCAGGGCGCCGTTACCAGGACCCCCGCCCCAGGCCTCCAAGTTGCAAGGCCTCCAGCCTCAGGACCCCGGCCCCAAGCCCCAAGTCACTAGGTCCCCGGCCCCAAGCCCCCATTACCAGCCCCCGCCACCGTTCTCTGCCGCCCACCCCCGCCCGGGCTCCAGGCCTCCACGTCCCTAGGCCTCCGGCCCCAGCGCCGCGTGCCCCAGGCCCCCTGGCCCCAAGCCGCAGGTCACTAGGCTCCCGGCCCCAGAAGCCCCGGTCCACAGACCCTCCGCAGACCCCGGCCGCAGGCCCGGTGCGGGCCGCTCACCGCTTGGCTGAGGATCTCCCGGCGGCGCGGGGAGGCGCTGGCCAACACCACGCGCTTGTGCAGCAGCTTCCCGATCACCGGGCTCAGCACCATGGCGCCGCGCCCCCCACGCCCCCCGCGCCCCCGGCGAACCGCGCGTCCAGACCCGGATCCGGATGCCCGCGCCGCACGCTAAGGGCGATATGGAGCCCCGCCTCCAACGAGGCCCCGCCCAGACCCGCCGGAGCCACGCCCAACCTCTCACAAGGCCCCGCCCATATCCCCGCCCCGTCCGCCCAGGCCCGCAGGAGCCCCTCCCTCCCAGGCCCCACCCCGCCACCTAGGCCACACCCAGGCCCTCCAGAGCCCCGCCCACGTCCCTCCCCGCCCGCCCAGATCTGCGGAGCTCCGCCCCGCCCCTGCAAGGCCCCGCCTCGTCCGCGCGGGCCAGCCAGAGCCCCGCCCCCGACAAGGCCCCGCCCCACAGCCCAGATCCCGCCCCATCCGCCCGCCGGAGCCCCGCCCTTCCGCCCGAGTCCCGTCCCCTGGCGGCGGGGCCTGGGCGTCACACCCGCAAGCGCGCGCGCCGGTCCGGATGCGCTTGCCGGCGGGCTCCGGGACCCCAGGGCGGGAGGGGTAGATGGGGGTCCCTGGGGAGTAGTGGAGGGGCCCGGAGATGGGGGTCCCCTGGAACGCCCCTGGGACGCCGAGATGAGGGGGGGTCCCCGGGAGGTGGGGGAGGCGCCGAGACGGGGGTCCCCGGGACGTGGTGGGGGGCGCGGAGACGGGGGTCCTCTAGAACGTTGTCGGGACGCGGAGACGGGGGTTCCCGTGAGGCGGCGGGGGGGGCGCGGAGACGGGGGTCCCCGGGAGGCGGTGGGGGTGCGCGGAGACGGGGTTCCCCGGAAGGTGGTGGGGGGCGCGGAGACGGGGGTCCCTGGGTCGTGGTGGGGGGCGCGGAGACGGGGGTTCCCCGGAGGTGGTGGGGGGGCGCGGAGACGGGGGTTCTCGGGAGGCGGCGGAGGGAACCCGGAGACGGGGGTTCCCGGGAGGTGGGGAGGTGCGCGGAGACGGGGGTTCCCGGCAGGCGGCGGGGAGGGCGCGGAGACGGGGGTTCTCGGGAGGTGGCGGGGGTCCTCGGGAGGCGGTGAGGGGGGCGTGGAGACGGGGGTCCACTATAACGTCTCGGGGACACAGAGACCGGGGTCCTCTAGAACGTTGTCGGGACGCGGAGACGGGGGTTCCCGGGAGGTGGTGGGGAGACCCGGAGACGGGGGTTCCCGGGAGGCGGCGGGGGTCCTCGGGAGGCGGTGAGGGGGGCGACGCGGAGACGGGGGTCCCCGGGAGGCGGTGGGGGGGCGGAGACGGGGTTCCCGGGAGGCGGCGGGGGAGACGCGGAGATTGGGGGATCCCCCTAGAACGCTCCTGCGGCGCTGAGATAGGGTCCTCGGGAGGCGGTGGACAGGTTCCCCTGGGGGACAGAACAGCCCTTGGCTGAGAACCACTGCCGCCTATAGATCCGTAGGCAGGCAGGCAGGCAGACAGACAGGGTCTCAGCACTGCTGACTTTGGGGGTTGGGTGATTCATTATTGGGGGGCGGGGGCCCTCGTCTGCACAAGACACTTAGCAGCAGCCCCAGTTTCTGCCACTAGATGGCGGCACCTTCCTTCCAAGTCGTGACAACCCACGTTCTCTCCTGACGTGGCCCTGGGGACCGAAGAGCCCTTGCTTGAGAGCTACGACCGGTGATGATCGATAGATGATCGATCGACCGATCGATAGAGTCACGTGAGGTCCGGGGCTCTCAGCTTCAGCACAACTGACATGTGGGGCCGCATGGCTCCTGGGGTGGGGCGCGCTGTGGGCTCTAGGGCTTTGAGCAGTGACTCTGGTCTCCACCCAGCACATGCCAGGAGCGCCCCTCACCCTTGTGACGGCCAGCAGTGTCCCCTGACGCATGTAGCCATGTGCGTGTGTACCCGTGTGTGCGCCTGTCTGCATACATACGGCGCAGACAGAATTTCAGCATGACAGCCTGTGGGATGCTGCCCTGCGTTCTTACCTCTCATCCCCTCCCCCTTCCCCTTCTGTGGGGCCTGATGTGCCAGGAGGCTCCGGGTAGGGGCTCCGACCAGTGCAGGTGCCCACAGCCCCTGGCGTGAGACACACACAGGGACCCAGGGTCTCCAGGTGCACAAGGAAGCCGGGGGGTGGGGGTGGGTGCAATTGGAAGCCAGCTCTCAGAGCCCCGGGACCCTCCATAGAGGGGGGCCTGTCCCTGGTGCACAGGGTCACAGGTGCAGGATTCCTACGCCCTCCTCCCGGACCCCTGGGCCCGTCCACCCCCGCCCCCCCCCCCCGCCCCTGACCTTCCCATGGAGCCTCTCGGTTCCGGCCACCAGAGAGCTGGCCGCCACCAGCCGGCCCCTTGATGGCCGTTCTGATTGCCTGCTCGCCTGGCCCAGGACAGCCGGCCCCAAACATCCCAAGTATTTTTCTAAGTTGTTTATTTATTTTTGAGAGAGAGAGAGAGTCCCAAGCAGGCTCCGAGCTGTCAGCGCAGAGCCCGACACGGGGCTCGAACCCACGAACCGTGAGATCATGGCCTGAGCTGAATCCAAGAGTCGGATGCTTACCCGACTGAGCCCCCCAGGCGCCCCAGCAGGGATTTCGGAACTCAGGTCCTGATACATTGATGTTTCCGTTCCCCTCGAGACCCCATCACTTCTACGGACGAGTCCCTTTGCTGGGGACGCAAGTGTGAGCTGCTGGGTGGGCCAGGCGGCACGTGAAGTTAGAGGGTCAGCCGCGGACTGCAGGCAGGAACGAGAAAGCCAGGCTGGGCTCCGGCAGGCGTGGGGTCGGGCTCTGGGGGCACGTTCAGTTGCAAACTCAGGATCTCCCACTCACCAGCTCGGGGACCCCGGGCGAGTCCCTCCACCCCCCTGTGCCTCAGTGTGCGCCTCTGCAAAATGGGCCCAACAGCTAACTTCTTGTAGTGAGATGAAGAGCTCATGCACGTGATAGACCCGGGGGTGGGGGCCTGATGTGGGGTTTACGCGCTGACCGTTGCTTGCTGTTTGGGGTGTATCTGTGAGCCCCAGAAACCAGCGTGCTCATTACACACGCACTGAAGAATCTTACCGAGATGGGGGCGCCTGGTGGCTCAGTTGGTTAAGTGTCTGACTTTTGATATTGTCTCAGGTCATGATCTCACGGCTGTGGGTTCAAGCCCCATGTCGGGCTCTGTGCTAACAGCACGGAACCTGCTTGGGATTCTCTCTCTGTCTCTCTTTGTCTCTGTCTCTCTCCTCCGCTCATTCTCTGTCTCTCTCAAAAATAAATAAACTAAAAAAAAAAAACAAGAAACAATGAACCTCACTGGCGTTATGGAATCACACGGATTTCCAAAGATCAGAAAACCAAAATAATAACAGGGCGCCTGGGTGGCTCAGTCGGTGAAGCGTCCGACTTCGGCTCAGGTCATGATCTCATGGTTTGTGGGTTTGAACCCTGCGTTGGGCTCTGTGCTGACAGCTCAGAGCCTGGAGCCTCTTTCGGTCTGTGACTCCCTCTCTCTCTGACCCTCCCCTGCTCACGCTCTCTCTCTCTTAGAAATAAATAAAATATTTAAAAAATTAAAAAATAATAATAATAAAATAAAAGCTGAGGTCAACGTTCAAGCTTTTAAACTAACAGCGGGTCTGAGCCTTTGTTGGGGATTGAGGTCAGAATCTGCCATGACCTGCGTGATGGACACGGGGTGGCCACCCAGTCCGTGGAGCGAGAAGGGAGGAGTAGTGAGAGACGGTACCCCACGGATGAGCCCCCAAAATCACCGTGGTGAGAAAAAGCCAAGACTGCAGCCCCTCCGCGTGCCCGGTGATCCCACTGATGTCAGAAGAGCAGAAAGAACAATCAACTTCATGTGGTGTGTTTCATTCTATCACAACTTAAAAAACGGGAAGGAAAAGGAAAAACAAATACAGGATATAAATTTTATGTTGTGTGTTTCATTTGATCGCAACTAAAAAAATCGGAGGAAAAGGAAACAATGACAAGTGGTCGATTTTATGTTTTAGGTTTAATTGTATCGCAATTAGAAAATTGGAAGGAAAAGAAAAGAAAAAAAAATAATCCCGGTTGAGAACACTTGCTTCTTCCCTATGATGCCATTCGAAGTAGACACGGTTTTCAGCGTTCGGTGATACACTGGGTGGAGATCAAGGTCTTCGTGTGACGTTTACCAATATACTTCAAATTTTAAAGATATTTCCAGATGTGGTCAAAGCGAGGAGAATTCTACAATGGACCCCACATTTTCTTCACCCACTTTAACCAGTAAGAGCGACCAGCATCACGCCGTTTTTATTCCAGAACCCCAAAATGTGTATGCACGCCGCCATGCGTGCATGTGCGTGCGCATGCATGTACGTGCGTCCATGTATGTGTGCGTCTCTGTGAGTGTGTGTGCGTGCATGTACGTGCGCGTGCATGTACGTGCGCCCATGTATGTGCGTCTCTGTGAGTGTGTGTGCGTGCATGTACGTGCGCGTGCATGTACGTGCGTCCAGGTATGTGTGCGTCGCTGTGAGTGTGTGCGTGCATGTACGTGTGCGTGCGCGTACATGCGTGCATGTGCATGTGTGCATACATGGGTGGGTGCCTGCGTGCGTGCACACACGTGTATGAATACATGTATGTGTGCATGTACATGTGCGCACGTGGGTGCATGTGTGTGCGCGCGCATGCCGCGTGCACGTGCGTACGTGTGCGTGCGAACATGTATGCGTGCGCGCGCACGTCTGCTCTGGTATTTTACGCGCAACATCACACACCGTATCATTACACGCACGGATCTTCGCACACACATCTCCTACAAAAACCTGGTTTTTTTTAAACCTCCATCACCGCCACGAACACATCCTGGACTTGACCGCACGCCGCCTCCGTGTGGCGCTGCGTGGATTCAGGCCGTGTTCCCAAGTAACCCGATTCCACCATCCGAGGAAGATCCTGGGGTCTGGCCGGAGGGAAACGAGCGGTTCAAAGACAGACAGGGCGCGTCTTTGGAAAGCAGGGGTCTCGGGGGTCAGAGAGAGAAACGTGGTAACCTAGTGCATGGGTGGGGGACTTGGGTCACCATCGAGGGTCTTAGGTCTCCGCGCG